ATATATACACTAAACAAAAATATAAACGCAACACTTGTTTTTGTTCCTATATATGAGCAGAGTTCAAAGATCTAATACTTTTCTATGTACAGGTACACAACAGGCCTTTTTCTCTCAAATATTGTTCACAAATGTGTGTAAATCTGTTAGTGAGCACTTCTTTGCTCATATAATCCATCCACCTCACAGATGTGGTGCATGAAGATGCTGATTACACAGAATGATTATTGCACAGGTGTGCTTTAGGCTGACCACAACAAAAGGCCACTCTAAAATGTGCAGTTTTATCACAGCACAATGACACAGATGTTGCAAGTTTTGAGGGAGGGTGAAGTTGGCACGCTTTAGTTTTAATTATATTTTAATCTCATTAGTATAAACATGCGTGCTCAGAAAAAGTTGCATAAAAAAAAAAACATCTTATTAATCTTGACCTTTTCCACAACATCATCTGGACTCCATCAGAGTTAGACAAGCAGTTAATGAAGCTGACGAAATAATAAAAGCTGAGCTTCAACTCACAACCAGAGCCTGTTCAGACACATATGGTTAGGATTTGACCAAATGGCCAGATGATGATTTCCCAAACATGTTTATCCTGCCAGACACAGTCATTGCAAAAAGTTTCGACAAAGATCCTGCACCAGAAGAGCAAAAACGGAAAATAAATAAATAAATGTGCACTTTTCTGAGCTCCTCTTGTTCAAGCAACTTCTCTCTCACAAACTAGATGCCAAGAGACACACAGACCACCTAGAGAACCAAGAAACACTTCCTTAAATGCTGTTTATTGTGGTCATGTAACTTACTGTTCTTGTTTACATGAAAACCCTGGAACATTTTTGTAGTTAGACTTGTCTCTGTACCGACTGTCACTTCGAAGAGAATATAGGAACTGATGGGAGGCAAACAGCTGCTGTGCCAACACGTGTTTTGCATTTTTCTGACTGGGGTCAGCTTTACAAGTCCAGCTCAAACAGGGTCAGCTTCCTCTGAGCTGATCTTCGGTGAAGGCAGGTTGCTGACAGAAAATGTAAACCGACACACGCACACTCACATCAGCACAAGATGGTAAGTATGAAAACATCCATCAAACTGTGTATGCTGAGTATATTCATATGTTACAGACCACGTCAAAGCATGCACAGGGATAATTTTTATATCTGTTTGCACTTGTGTGAACTCACATTGTTTTCCCTGTATAAATGTGTGTGTGAGAGTTTATGTAGGTTACCTGAGGTTAGTGTTTTGGATGTCCATGGCCACACGGGAACCATTTGGACTTGGACTGCAGGAGGGAAACAGGAGAAGAGATGGGAAGAAAAGACAGTGACAAAAGAGAGGGCAGATAAGGAAAAAAAAAAATAGATGGTAAGAGAAAAGGATTGGATCATTGAAAACCGTAACGATACAAGAAACAAAGAGAAAACCCATACAGAGAAAGACATGACAAAGACACAGATGGAGTAAAAAGTTTTAACAAATTAAAATAGTAGCAGAAAAAATTATTTAGGAGACAAACCACGGTTAAGAAAAATCACACAAAAATATGTAAAAACAAGGATGGGCACAGACCATTAGCAGAAACAAAAGGTAATGGGAAAAAATACAGAGAAATTAAAACAAGACATACATAAGTGGTCAGACCACACACACACAATTCTTTCAGGTATATTATGGACTCTCTTGTGCATCAAAGGCATCTGAACAAGTCACTATGCTAACATGTTTCTAAACTAATGGTTCCGAACTGTGGTCCTTGAGGAACACCATCCTGCGTGTTTTAGTCGTTCCTCTGCTTTGACACACTTGATCTGAATGAATGAGTGATTAAGAGGCTTCTGCAGAACTTGAGGAAGTAATGAAATCACTGAATCAGGTGTGTTGGAGCAGAAAAACAAACTAAAACATGGAGGATAGTGTCCCTCGAGGACCAGGGTTGGAAACCACTGATCTAAACTGTCGTGTTTAGCCTGTAAATATTCTGTCAACAGAGCTTGAAACTAAATTCAGTCACTCACTTGAGTACTAGATGTAGGTTAGCAGACAGTCGAGGGTCTGTGAACTGTGTTGTTCGGTTGTTGTGGTCGACAAAGTAAACGCGACCAGTGGCGGTGTTCCTGATCTCCCAGCCTGGTGGCAGTGGACCCAGCTCCTCACAGTTTACGTTACTTAGGTCCCTGAGTGGAGGGGGGGGAGAAGACATTTTCCTCATACATACATATCTGAGGGCTAAAATATTTTACTTACAGGGTGGTAAAGTGACAAAAGGTTTGTGACAGTGACTAAATAATGTAAAGTATAACAAAGATGGTGATGAAGTGGAACTTTTTGTTTTTTTCTAGTTTATAGCACAATGCTGATCTACAACAATACAAACCATTTTTTATTACCAGCAAGTTTTTTTTGGTCTAAATTAATGTTCTTTCTTCTCTGCTGTACACTCCTATCAGCAGATGCCAAAGTTCTGATCAGGGACGACGCCACAACTTTGTTTTTATGTGTGAAGTGGAGATACTTCACTCGGGAATGAAAAACAGGCTTTGTTTCCCACTCTTCACAAATACTGAGTCAGTTTAGCAGCTCTGCCCAAAATGACTGAACCCAGATGTTGCTGTGAGCTGGACGTTATACTTACTTGATTCATCGCAAAGCAGGAGCTCAGAAATGGCCAAATATTGCAATGTAGTAGTGATTGCATGTTTTGTTTTGGAAAGTTGGTATCAAACGATTGAGAGACGACAAAATGTCAAGACATGAAATAACTCTGGCTTGTTTTCAGTTCAACATCTATCCAAAATATTTCAACTGAGAACAAGGAGCCATTAGATTAGCTGACCATAACATTTAGCAATGAAGCAAGAGCCTGATGTGATTCAGTCAAATCCATTCCGGTCTCACTTTTTCTTGCCAATACCATGTCGTACATTAGGCTTTAAAAGACAAGCACGGTGCTGGCTTTAATTCACTGTTATTCCAGAGCCCAATACAATTATGGTGAAACAGTTGAATAACAAAAGTGTTAAAAGACAAGGATCTTCAAAACAGTTTTCTAAGAATATACAAATTATAACACTGATGAAAATACAAAGATTAATAAAAGGTACCTGGGTACCCGGGGGTCATGCCAAGTACTGACTCCAGTCTGAGTATGAAGGAAATACACTTGGCCCTGCTGGGTTGTCCTTTGCTCTAAAAAATAAAATAACTGGATTATAAATTTGACACAAAAAGACAAAGAAGCAAACTTCACACTGCTGTTAAGAATGCTGTGTAGGCCTGTCACGATAAATTTTGCTGGGCGATTAATTGTCTCAGAAATCATTGCGCTAAACAATGTTTGAAAATGAATGATGTTAGACAATAATTAGTAATTATTGTCAAATTTGACAATAATTAGTAATTATTGTCAAATTTACAATAATTAGTCATTATTGTCAAATTGTTAAAAATTGTTAAAAAAAAAGAAACTGTAGTATGAGTTTTTATAACTGCTTATTGTTGTTGCTGTTGTCCATTGTTGTCATCTTTCTTTGTTGAAATCAGGTCTCTCTTGTAAATGAGTCCTCGAGGCTCAATGGGATTTACCTGTATAAATAAAGGTTGATTGATTGATTAAGAAGAAATGTTTAATTTGTTTTGCGTGTAGTACCTTTTTCCGACCACCGGATAGAGTACAAGACTTTTTTAACTGAAGGATGGATAGTGAGGGAGCGAGAAGCGTATTTTTAAGAAAAATGGGAGGGAGGCCCCTTGATGTGACATGGGCTGTCTCTCGTTCCTGTTTTTCTGTTCTCAAAATGGCGGACGTTCGGTGTGGTTTGAGCTCTTTAGCATAGCATTTTTCACACAATGCTTTAAAAAAAAAAATCAGTAACTTTTTAGACGAAGGCACAGGTTTCAACCGTGAATTTTGGAGCTTCGACAAGACGGAGGTTTTTTTTTCCCTGAGGTCGGCCTGTTAGCTTAGCCCGTAGCTTAGCTTCTTAGCTTAGCTGCTTTTAACGATCCAAAAATGTGATTTTGGGCGGCTAAAATGGATTTTAAAGAGAAAAGAGACAGGGAGGGGTCAGTGAAGAGCACCGGAGTTGAGACTTTTGTCATCCAGTGTCTTCAGTAGAAAGAGAGAGACACGAAGAAACAAAGCCGATAAATGAAAATGAGGTTGATAATTTTTATTTATCTTGCGATTAATTGATTTATTGTTTCTTGCGACAGGCCTAGTGCTGCATTTTGGTTAGGCATTGACGGACATGAGCAAAGTGGGTTTGTATACTTTGGGGAAATAAAACTTTGTTTACAATTTATGTGAAAGGCAAATTGCTGAGAAACAGTAGACTTACGAGTTTCTTTAGTCGAGTGTCAGACAACTTGAATCATTTAATAATGTAAATTTTCAGAGGGCTTATTATAAGAGGATTAAGAACGCTGGTCTTTATAGCACTTTTTGCAGCCATTTAACAGATGCACCCTAGTTTCTTTGTGACATTAAAAATATATATTTTTGTGTGTTAAACATAGGAAAAAAAACCTATCAAATAGAAGACATAAAAATAATCAGGAGTGCAGGGCACAGATTCTGTTGGTCTCATGTTTTTTTTGTTTTACGGAGTTCATTGTTGATTGAATACAGCGAGGAAAATTCTGGCACAATCTAGTTTTACATGGGCGTGTTATGTGTTGTTAAAATGGGTGTATAATCATAAGCTAATCAATCACAACACCCCCTAGCCCAACTTCCTACTGGCACCTCTTATTTCCTGTCCACCTCTCGTTTTCTTTTTCCCTCCCCACACATTGCCTCTCTTTGCCCACCACGCCCAGTAAGTAGTTCAGAGGGTTCAACTGAGGAAGACAACTCTTAAGCTGCTGGGCATCAATGACTCACTTTGCCCAGCCTCGGCCAGTCTGAGTGGATGCAGCAGGACTTTTCAAAGGGGGCACAGGTCCAATAGTGTCATTTTGAATCACTGGCATACAGAACCACACTTAAAATAAAACTTATATATTTTTTTTATTATAAAAGACTCTGTGGGTATTGTGGGTTGCACCACAGCTTGCTCTTAAAAGCACTTTCTTCCTGAAGGAAAAAGAAACAGTTCCAGTGTTGCTAGATAAATATACTTGTATAACTTTGACCACTATTTTTCCAGTGAGTTTGTTTTGTGAGAGTGAAGTCAAAATATTAATTACAGTTAAAGAAAAGTTGTTATTAATTCTAAGTATTTTCCTGGAATTAAACTCTGAACTATAAATGAAACAAACCCAATTTGCAGCCAAAAATATTAGTTTTTGCAAAGACAAACATTTCCAAACATCAAAAAACCTTCATGAACTCAAATATGTTTCAGTGTTTTTGTATAAGGTGTTTTATAATTTATGTCCTCTGTATGTGTCCAATGTCTAATAACTTTGAAGACATCCCTATTTGCCTTTCATAGTTTGTAATTTTCTGCTAAGGCTATTTAAAAACGATAAAGACTCATTCTGTAAACCAACTTTGTGTTCAATGAAGGGATTTCTTCAGTTTAAAATGCCATCGATGATGGTGTGAAATGATAAATGGTCACTCATCAGGTCACTAAAAATGACCAATCACAGTACAGGACTTTTTTTTTTTAATCATGGTGCAGCTTTTTTAAATTTACTTTTATGAGAAAATCTTTGAGGATTCAAGAGCAAACTGCACACACTACAAGCCTTTGAATGAGATGTTAGTGCATCTATCTTAGCAGATATCACTCTCTGAAAGCTACATAAAATGCAGCCTGTGAAGAAAGGCACCAGTCTTTGCGCTATGAAACTGAATAGTTTGAGGTTGGAACAAAAACTTGTCCTTTTTATTGTTTCATAAGGCGTCATCACAAAGGTCTACAAAAATGTAATGTAGTGCACAAAGTTTATTCATCCCATTTTTCATTTACAAAGGATAACAATTAGAAATGTATGATATGTGAGAGTTAGGAGAGATCATATGGCTCCAGTTTTATATTCTCTGTATTAGCTCCCTGTCAATCAGAACAGAAGTTAAAATCCTACTTTTAACCTACAAAGCTCTCAACAACCTAGCTCCAGCTTCTATCAAAGATCCTATTGTTTCATACTTTCCAAACAGAGCACTTTGCTCCCTGATTGCAGGTTTACTTGTGGTTCTTAAGAGTTTCTAAAAGCAGAATGGGAGGCAGAGCTATAAGTCATCAGGCTCCTCTCTTGTGACAACACCTTCCTGTTTCTGTCTGTGAAGCCGACATTCTGCCTAATTTTAAGAACAGGCTTAAGCCTTTTCTTTTTGATGAATCCATTAGTCAGGATTGGCTTGGGTTTCCTAAGCTATCCCTTAGTTATGCTGCTATTGGCTTAGACTGCTGGAAAACAAAACGACCATATTTTCCCACTCTGCTGCTCTCGTTACCTGCTCTATTGTTCACGTTTGCATTTTCAATTATTTCTAACATTAATGTGTTTTTCTTTGACTTTCTCCCCACAGAAAGTGTACCTGGACCAGTCATTTTGTGTTTGTGTGTACCATATTTTTCAGACTATACGGCGCACTTAAAATCCTTTTAATTTTCTCAAAAATCAACTGAGCCATATGTATGAATTCTGGTTGTGCTTACTGACCTTGAACCAATTTTATGTGGCTATTGTGAATGAGTTGAATAAAGTTTGATTTATCTGACTGTTTTGTTTTGCTTAATGCGCCTTATAGTCCAAAAAATACGGTATTATTTTCCTGTCATAGCTAACCCCAGCGAGTCAAGACAGATGGCTGCCTATCCTGAGCCTGGTTCTGCTGGATGTTTCTTCCTGTTAAAAGGGGATTTTTCCTTTTCACCATCGCCCGTGTGCTTGCTCAGAACGGGAAGTTGCAACAAATCAAAGATTTGACACAATCTGCTGGATTTCTTAGACAACTAAACTTTACTAATGGGCATTTTATATCGTCTGTGAATTGTTTTGTACAAAGTCGTGAGACATTTGTTGTGAACTGGCACTATAATAATGAACAGAATTGACTTTTTGAAGTCCTGAACCAGTAACAGGTTATAGCCCAAAAGAAAGTTTTGGGTGTTTGCTTCAAAGCATTCCCTCACCATAACCCTCTGGCAGGTCAGGCGGAGTATGCAAGTGTGTTCGACTCATGTAATTCCGATGTCGCTGCGATCGAACCCGGCGCTCTTGGACCCGTTGTTCGCCTGGAGGTCCGCAGGCCACTGCCCCGTTAACGGGAGTCATCACTGGCGTGTTCTCATCTACCACACAGCTCAGCGGACGCCCTGATGGGCTAGAGTACTCCGATGCTGGCCTGAAAGAGAGCAAAAGTCAAATGTTTGAAACCTGCGGTCTTCTGTATTGACATTTAATAAGTAACAGATTTTAATTTGCACTTGCATTATTTGTATGAACAATTCTAATGTTTTAGTGAATGTGTGTGTATCAAATATACGTTTACGTAAAAGCACTGTAAAAGTACAAAATGAGTTTAATTCCATATTGGGTTAAATTATGCCTGGAACAAGACGTCATTTTTTTAAATGTTAAGCTATGCATACAAGAATTATGCAAATACTGCAGAAGCCGTGTCATAAGCCTACAAGAAGATTAATGTGTTTTTGGATAACAGTTATGAATTGAGTGATACAGAAGATTAGAGGCTGCATTAAAATAAAAGAACAAAGAGCCCTCATGACAACAGCCTGTGCTAGCATGCGTGTTACTCAAGAACAGAACTGACAGAGATATGTGATAAGCAGACTCAAACGCAGACAAGCCGACTTACTGACAGATATTGTATATATGCGTGTGTATGTGTGGGTGTATGTGCGTGTGGGTCTAACCACTGTCTGGCCAGAGTTACTGACGCCTTAGCTATCTAAAGCCTCAGGGCCAATAAGCCCTCTACACACACTTTTCTCCCACCCATTTCCTTCATGGTGCTTATTTTTTCCTAACGTTGCCTTCAATTTATTTAGACCTCTCCCTATTCTCATTCATTCTACCCAGTTTCTAAATCAGTCCAAACTAGTTGAAGCTTAACATAGAGAGTGTCAATCACATGTCACATAACACCCTTTTGCTTGCCTCATCTTCCATCTTAATTTTAATATTTACATTTTATTAATTTACACCTCAGTGCAGAACTACTTCTTAACATTTCCTATTTATTTACATACCCTCCATTTGCTATTCTGCCCAGGGGCGACTAAAGACGTGCAGTAGACCGGGTGAGTAGGAGAAGTTTGTTTGCTTACTTCCCTAATGACTCCACTGATAGGAGCCAAGTAGGAAGGCGACAGTTTTTTTCAGCAGCAAGTGGGGGGGGGGGGGGGGGGGGGGGGGGGGGGGTAGTGAAACCTGGGTGCCCGACTGACTGGCTAGTTTATTTAGCTGCATGCTTGTTGGTCTGTCTGTGTGCACAAGAACATGTTGAGGCGGGGAACTGAGGAAACTAACAGCACTCATTACCACCAGACTATTATTGTTGTGCTGTAAGTGGAAGTGTTCGTTTTTTGCCCTCTCTAAAACAGGGAAGTGAAGGGAAAGTATCACTACTAGCATTACTGAAGTACATTAGGATGCAGAACACAATGTGTTATTTAAATTTATGATACACAGCACAATATTTTTTTTTTATTTGGATTATTTTAAAGGTAATTTTTACACAGCATAAGGTAAACTACGTTTAGGATACGGTATTCTCAGCTGGTACCTGGTAGGTCTCTCCCACTGTGTGGTGCGTGTGATGTGGTTCAGATATTGTATCCTTCCAGAGGCTGTCCTCCTCTCCTCCCAGCTGTTTCATGAAAATATTAAAACAGACTTTTAAAAATCAACATCAAGCTTACTTAAAACATAAAAGAGCTTGCTTATATCATAGTGAAATATTTATAAAATACTGTAATCAATTTAATGAATAACAGAAACTTAGTTCACATTTATTGCCACAAATAATCAATAATAGTTTCTAAAACTGCACTTGAGTTCAAACATTCAAAGGCAGTAGAAACTAACCCATGTCATACCTATAAAACATATTACCGAGTATATTCACAAAATCTGAAAAAATTAAGACTTGTAGAAAATGGTTACTTCTAGGATGAGTAGTTTTGAATGAAAACCTGATACTGACCCATCAGGCAAATCATTGTCAAACAGACGACTGCAGTCTACCACTGGACCCCCGGTCCCGATGCGATCTCTGGACTGCAGACTCACTACGATTACAAAAACAAGGTGTAGATCAGTGACATTTACAGAACATCTGGTTCAAACAGTAATGAGTCTATGTCTCAATTCCAGATAGCACTGTAATGTAACTTTGCTGTTTAAAAAAATCCCATTGTTTATATTTTTTTATTTAATCCCCCAGAATGGTTGATTCAATATTCTGACTACAACAAGCACAGGGAAACTTGGCCAGACAGTCCAACTCTCGAGTCATAAATAAAATGCAATCACTACTTTTACCTTGTAAGATACAGACTAATGCAAAATTATACAACTTGATACAACTTGCAACATAACTATGACTTTAAGTTTTGTCTCTAAATCTAAAAGAAAACATGCAAGTGAAAATGGGTGGTTCTTACCAACTATCTGTCCTCTCACAGTATCATTGTCATTGGGGCCCAGCTTATTCAGATCCAATCTCTGATCTGCAATAAACAAAACTATTAATTCGTTCATCTGTTACATATTTTCAGGCCAAATGCATCCATCTAAAAAGAAAACACAACAGACTACATGAGGAGAGATGTGGCTCTTTGTGTACATCAGGAACTTCTCTACAGGACAAAAACAAAGTTAGAGCCTCTTTCATCTCATGTTCTGATTATTAATTAGCAAACAGTAAAATTATTTTGTTGTATTCAAAGTTTAGTAATAATCAACCTTTTTTCTATTTGTATGTTATTTTAAACAATGTTCAGTCAGGTCATCTGGATGGTTTCTTTTATTTACTTTTTTTATTGCCGAGACGTTTCATCCTTCAACCAAAGAAATTCTTTGATCTGAGGAGCCACAAACAAACAAAACAGAATCCCAAAACAGCATACTCCATACTGGAAAAACTGTGGTGCCATCTTAGAACCAGCAAACAGTTTTGTTTTTGTTTTTTTTCCTCCACTATGAAGTATGCTGTTTGTGGGAATCAATTTTGTTTGTTGGTGGCTCCTCAGATCGAAGAAGTCCTTTGGATGAAGGATGAAATGTCTCAGTAAAAAAAAAAAAAAAAAACCTGTCCAGATGACCCGAATGAATATTGTTGGATTTTATATCCAAATTATTGAGCATGAACTTTGGTATTATTTTAAACAGTTCAAATAATGCCAAAGATAATGTACAACAGCTGAACTTGATTTTTTTTTCCATGCACAGGAGAAAATAAACACTAAGTGAAACAGTCAACACTCTTATTACACTGTGTTTTGTCTTAGTACAAGAAAGAAAAACTGAATCTACATGTCAAAGAGGGATGTACCCTGCTTGAGTGAAAAGCCTCTTCTCTCCATGTTCTCAGATAGATTTGTGTTCACAGACACATGAAGCCATCTTTTGCACTAACATAGACCAACCAAATACACTTTTTACACCATACTTGTTAGCACAGCTAGATGTGTTTTTTTTTTTTACACCCATCAGCCATATTATCATGAGCACACACCTAATATTATAAAGTATATATAACTTTGTTGGAGAAAGATAAAATTAACATAAGGTGAGCTGGGGTATCTAGTATTAAAAAGGCTGCAAAATGTTCCACGAATCTATGACTTGTGTGTAACAAGTCATTTAGACTAGGACGAGTAATTTAAACTGAAAAGAATAAATACTTTTGCAGGGTAAGAACCTCTATTAGATGTAAGAGGCTGAATGAGTGCTATGAGAGGAAATGGATGACATGAGTAACAAGGAAAAATAAAGATGCAGCAACTAACTTCCTGTTCTTCAAAACATAAAACTGAACCCAGAGTGGTGAATGAGTGTGTTGAGTTTTTGTTTTGTCTGTAAAATGTTATATACATGACACACATTAATGGCAATATACGAAGAGTCATAACGATCATATAGTTTGTATGTGTGGGCGTGTTTGTATGTGAACATGCGTCTGTTCCGGACGTGGGTTTAGAATAAACAGGGGTGGTCTGAGCTTTACATGGAAGGAGTAGCAATCAACTTTCGGAGAACAAAAATGTACAGACTTTTTACCACAAGCACTCACCACACCGATTCCTGGGAGCCTTACAAACTTTGTGGTGACAGACGAAACTACGGTAGGTAAACTGAAAGTATGCCCACATGTAGACCCGCATGAACAATGTGATGTTTAGGGTTGCATCATTTAGCTTTTTTATACTTTTCTCAAGGTGTATGTCTGCTTGAATATATAAAAGTATTAGTTTCAATAGTATGTCAATCCTGAAGTCAAGTTTTAGCTAAACTGCTTTAGATTATGAGTGTATTAGAAAAAAATTAACAAATTTCTGAGTTTGCATCAGATGAAAAAAAAAAAAATTATATTATATATATATAAATATATATATATAGTTTAATATATTATTTTTTTATTTTTTTTTTTTTTATGAATTCCAGTAAAGCTTTTAATGAACATGCTTTTATGTGACTGTGGACACACACACAAAAACACACATTCTTGTAAATGTACTTTTTGGCGACTTTGCATTGACTTCCATTCATTTTCTATAGCCTAACCCTGACCCTTATCCTAAACCTAACCACTACTAGTACATGCCTAACCCTAACCAATCTGCAATTCACACCTTAATCCTAAACCTAACCCCTATTATCCAAATTATCTTCCTGACGCAACCAGGACTTGAACCCACAGCCTCAGGATCACAAGACCGTGGCACCAATCACCAAGCTACCACTACCCTTCGATTGCTAAATCATTCATTCTTTGTTAGAAGCATATAATACAAGGATAAAAACAAGAACGTAAGGGTCTGTCATCTTATTTGTGGTAAACCGATGTGCAGTTGTGATTCACGTAACCACCAGGTGGCTATTAAATTACTTATCCACTCTGACTCCAGAGAGCCACCTAGTTACTCTCTGCAAACAAGTCTGACTTGTATCTTTCATTCAAGACTTATAGAAAGAAAACAAAGAGACCAGACACCAGTGACCCAATTTTAACAAATGCTCAGTGACACACCTGCAGACAGTAACATAAACGAGTACTTACAGCCTGTGTCTTTAAGTCTGTTGATGGCGTTGGACAAGAGGCGGACACAGCCCAGGAAACCTGCACCCTGCTTTTTGTGGATCTTCTTGTGGTTCCATACGCTGATAGTAATAGAGTCTGTTTTTCCAATGTAACTGATAGGAGAAGAAGGGGAAAAAAGTTTTAAAAAAAATAATAAATGAAAGAAGAATGCAAACAAAGTAGGTTTTGTTACAAATTTGACAACAAAGGAGGCAACAATCCCAACATCCCATGTGCTTGTTCACAATGTAAACCTCAAGAACAGTTAAAGTTCAACTGATAAGACATGTTCAGAAATTAATAGACGACTCTTAAAAAAAAAAAAAAAAAAAAAAAAAGCACTTTAACCTTTTAATACACTGAAAAAAAACAACTTCTATTCATCTATTTAAGCAAATGCTATCGATTTTAACCTTTGCATGCGTGCACACGTGTGTATACAGAACTGCTGCAGTCGAGGACTGTCTAGTCGCGGTTAAAGAACAGAGGAAGTCCGTGTGATGTGTTCTACCGCTGTCTGGGACCTAGAAAGTTCTTGCAGTAAACACAGTGTGCATAACATTCAAATGCACATTTGCACTCTTGCTGACTTGGATGTAATTACAGTCTAGAATCCTGCTTTCTTGCAAACTTTATATTACACCATGTGTAGGTTGCAAAGAGTGGGGTTTTCCTACCTGAACACACCAAAACACTTGGGTACTGTATATAAAACAAATAATAGAAGGTTGCAATTTCAAGTAGTAAAACTTAATAACAGTTATTTTAAGTTTTACAGTTTGGTGCATCCCGTTATGTAATTTCTTGAAACTGCCTGGATAAGGACACATTGCTGATTTCTGCAATTACTAATGCAACTTATTTAGAAATGCACTTTATGCATGTTTCATCTATGTGATATAAAAACTTGTAATTTTTAATAATCCCCATTAACAGAAAGCAAACAATCTATTTTTACTTTTAAGTCCTAATATAAATGTACAAGGATCAGTATGAACTTATCTTTTTAGTTTATGTTTCAAATACTTGAGCTTTTCAAACAGTTTTCTGCATCTTGTTCATCATGGTCATCTTGTTATGGCTGGATGAGAACAGCTTTACTGCTTTTCAAATGAATTATTGAATATGCACAGAACTTAATTTTCACATCCTAAGAGTTTAATGTGAAAAGACTTGAAAACTAGAGGGAACACTTAATGAAGCAACAGTATTTAAACCAACAAAAAAAAACAATTTTATTAATTTTCAACACTGTTGTAAAGATTTGTCAGACTGTTTACAAAATAATCTGTACAGGATGTTGATATAAATTAAATGTAATCAACCTAATGTGAAATAAAAAGAAACCTGCATAAAACTACAGAATTTGTATCATACACAATGTGACCAACAGTATCCATGGAATGAGGAAAAAGACAACCCACCCCCCACCCCCCATCCAAAAAACTTTGAGGTTGCAGGAGGTGTGGTTGGTCGGCAATCTGCCAAGCCCACACTCCCATCTGCTTTCTGTGGCATGTTAGCCATTTCCTGAACCAGAGGAAGAGGCCAGGGGTCGTTTGTGAGGAAAATGAGTGGGTGGGGATCTAAGAGGGGAGAAGAATATTATGTAAAGAGGGTGGGGACCTGAGGTTCAAAGAAGAATTTCAAAATTAAAGTTTGTGCCTAAAAAGGTACATCTGTTGTAGATGCAGTAAAAAGAAGAAAAAGAGAAGGGTTAGCAACTTTTTACAGCATTCCATGTAAGGTACTTACCACATGGCTACATACCTTTTGTTTATGAGGAAGAATAAATCTATTTAAGTTTGAGCTGAATCTTAAAGCCGTTTTCTTAGTAAGGCTGTCGTGTATGAAATGAATGAAACGTTACAATGCTATTTTGGTCTTGCAAAAATACCCATTAGATTTACAAAAGGGTGGTTTGTGCAATCAAGTTTTTATTGTTGAGACACTTGAAACAGGTATTTCCAGAACCATTGTTAGCAGGAAGTAAAACCAATGTACCACATTTGTTTACAATCTTTATGATAGTATTTTTACTTCAAATAGCACAAAGGTGATGTATCATTTATTGGTGTGTAACAAGACACTTCTCTCAAGACGAGCTGTGATGAGATGACATACTAGGTTCATAAGACCGAGATGAGACTAACAAAAATTTATAAAGGACAAAACATGTCACAAACTCAAAGGACTACCATATATCCTAATTTGAGGTTTTCCAGGTTTTTAAGATTTCTTGTCAAAATATTCATTTAAAAAAAATGAATGTAATTTTTCTTAAAATATATATTTTTGTCAGAACAAAATATTTGCTGGAATTTTTGGAAATAATAAAATTTCTGCTTTTTAATGTATTTTTTGCCCACTTTTTTATAGGTTTTAATTAAAAAATATCAAAAAACAGCTTAGAAAACAAAATGCAGTGAAATTTAGAAAAAGAAAAAAACGCCAGACACTGTAGCTGTACTGTGATAAGAAAGGCATTTACACACACACAAATATGCATGTATGTATGTGTGTATGGATGGATGTATGGATGGATGGATGTATGGATGGATGTATGGATGGATGTATGGATGGATATGTATGGATGGATGTATGGATGGATGTA